TCGCGGTAAAAGAGTTAAATAAAAAGTAATAAAATTATGAATGGCAATTTGGGGAAATTTACCCCGTAATTAAATGTGTGATTTCCATACGGAAAGAAACGTTTATTAACGTAATAGAGATATTCAATTTGGCTCTAAAATAAAAATGAAATAGATGATGTTGAGACAGTGATAGATTGACAGTGTGACATCGCTCGTTAATCGCTCGAATATGTTAAATATAACACGAGGATTTCGGTATTGTAAACCGTGTGTAGTACACATGGATTTGTTTCTGACGTTTCGTGAATATTTCAGTTTATTTTTTCAAGGTGAAAGGAACAATCTGAAACTCATAAACAGTTCTTATCCCGGAGAAGTGAACTGAAATGTTCACGAAACGTTGGGGACAAAATGATTATTATTGCGAAGAGGAATATTTTCGGAAAAAATCCTCAAATGTTTTTGTAAATGCGATTTAAGGAAAACGCAATTTTCGCAATATTCGTTCGCTATAGCGCCTGACACCTGATACTTTAAGAGTCGCCGAAAATGGCTATAATTTCAGTGGGATTTCTCTCGGTGCAGAGTTTATCCCGACAATGGACGGCAGTTTGAGCTAATAATATTCCGCCTTCCGGGCAAATAGAGCGGAGTTCGGAATCAAAAACGCGCGACTTTTTCTTCCCGCTGTATTACCTCACCCTTACCCCGCGAGCCGCGTCAGTCTCTTTAGCCCGGTAAGAAGGGAGCATTGTGCAGAAAACTTCCACGCGCGCGCCGCGCGTCACCGACTGCCATACTTGTGTAAGACCGCCACTCTTTTGATATTTCAACGTAGTAGACGAGTGGCGTGTCGTAATGAAATCATCTCCAGTGCTTTGATCTTCTCCCCGTGCGGCACACCCCCTGGCCACCACCGGCAACCTCCGCGTCGCTTTCCCTTGAAAACGCGATGCCACCCCCTCCGGTCACCCCTCGCGAATGTCCCACTCAGTCGGCACCCTCTCCACCCGCATCCCCATCTCACGCAGGCAGGCACACGATCCACCCCCATAATGAGTTCCTTCTGCACTTTCTTCTTTGCCGCAACGCATTTTTATCATGCGAAAAGCAATTTCCTAATTATGACAAGTGCTAACCGGTTATCCTTTGTCGGATTCGTCTTTGTTGCTCTTTTCGTTACGCTTGCCAGCCGGCTTGTAATTATCGTCGCGCGCGATGTTTTCCACACAGCCCCGCTAATAGAGCCCAGGCGTAAAAGTGCGCATCGCAAAAAGAATTCGGCGCTCATGTGCGCGGCGCGATATTGCAATCATGAGGTGCCCCCTTTGCGCGAAAAACGACGATAAAGGGTGACGATGATGGATGTTGGGGTTGTTGCGTCGGAGGAACACGAGACGATGAAGTGGCGCGAATGAGTCGCCTTTTTCCTTCGCGTGATACGGATGGGGGAGGGGAGCTTCGATAGCGCTAAATACTTGTCTTTCGGTTTAACGCTCCGTGGACACGTCTCAAATGAGGGAGAGAAAGCAAAGAAAGCGATGTAAATTAGGGAAATACGCACAGTCCACGTTTCATCTTCTCTGTACGATCAACTGTATGAACGATGGAAGTGCCGCTAATCGAGAAACGATCGCTTCCCGATGATCGTGTCCAATAATGCGCTCGATATGTTTACACGTAATACACGTTTCCCTTAATGATTGCCGGGGCTGCCAACACAATGAAACATACTTTTCTGGCATAAACAATTAATGAAGCATATTTTTATGGCATAAACAAGAAAGTTTGAATTGGAGTAATCACTTCATTACACGAAATTCTATAATTGACGTTTGCAACATCTTAATTGCTACTATTAACTGTATTATTTCGTGACTTAAATGTCACGTTAAACAATTAATGCAATTTTACGATTTGTTCTTGCCATTCCTCAAGCCAACGATATTTCAATATTCATTTTGAATCATTCGGCGAGTCTTAAAGAAGAAACAACTGGTGCAAGAAGAAGTGACAAAATTAATTGTTTGCCTGAACGAGGAGAAGGCGACGATACACAAAGATGATTAACGCATGGTACTATTTATTGGTGACTATACAGTGGACAGTGACGATGATCGATACGCGAATGAGCGAGTTGACGAAGACGTCAGAAGTGGAAGAGAGGAAAAGAGACGAGAAGCTTGTTCTTTGTAGGAGAGAACCATGACCGTGGCGGCTATATAAGGTGTATCGAGCAACAAGGACTAACGGCCTTTAATTAATAAAGTTACGCGAACAACTCTCAAAGTCTTCCTGCCCCTTGCCTCCTTCCCCATTTCACCCCCGCCCACTTGGGTAGCAGCTATTTCCTTCGCTTTAGAAATTCTGGTATTTTCTCCCACTTCCCCCTCATTGCTTCTTCGTACTTCGGTCCTCCGTAAAGGCCTACCTACGAAGTTGTAACCCTTTATTGGATGAGAAAGCGCCTTCCGCTTATCTAGTAGAGATACTTTTCCGCGAATTTTCACTTGATATCGATAATTATGCTCACATCTTCAATGTTGCTCAACAGATGAATGTAAGAAGCGTTTAAACGCTTTGACGATTGTCGACGATGTAGCAATATCTGAGTATATTCTGCGAGAAATTTGCGAGACATATCGCGCGTCAAGACGCACGTATTCAATAGGCAACGTCGATACAAGATAATACTATCGGAGCACGACTAAATATTGATGTTAGACGCTGCTGGCAACAGGTGTTACCGCATTTCTTCAGTTTTTCATCTTACATGCCGTTGGAGGAAGCGTACGCGTCACGTTGAGCGCGTAGATCCAGGTAAAAAAGCGGTCTTGATTTTTAATTAAACGTGAAGTGATCTCCAGCGGGATCTTAGGATCCAACGAGAAGGGGATCGTCGCTGTGCGATCGGTCGTTCAGAAAGCAAAGAAGAAGGAATTACGCGGAGCAAATTCTACTCAAGGGGGAGCGAGGCGAGCGTGTCTGTCTTCGTTTGAACAAATCGTGCGTACGCACGGCAAGTTAAAATTTCATTTTTAAGCACGCTCGCGGAAATTCCGACTTATTGAAATTTATATGCGCAGTTCTCAAGAAACGCCGTGTACGTATTTTACAGTCACGTGTAGACGTTCCGAATTTGTAATACACACGGATGTCGTGGCTCGCGCATATATAACACCGCGTATGTATACAACCGGCTATACGTCATTGCTATGTAAATTACACAATACACATACACGTACGTACGTAATACGTAAACGTTAGCCGTATAATACGGTCGTGTGGGGGGACTTCTCTCGCCACGTGTATTAAGTCAGCGACATTTTCATGTGCATTACACGACGCGCACTTTATATGCGGCATAATGGAAATAGACGTACAGGGCGTACATTCAACGTGAACGTGGTGTACACAAGATGACGTAAGAATCACTTTACACATCGTTTATTGATCAAACGTCTCGCATACCACGCGTATATCTCACGTGCCGTGCGTTTTTCACGATTCGAGGCCTGTCGATTATCCCTGCGTCGTTGAAACTTTCTTACTTGCCCGAAAAGTGAAATAGGTCTTTCTGACGCGGCCCTTTCGCCTGTACCGCGCGAAAATTCCGTCGCGCGATACCGGTAATTGATTGACTCGCGCGAAATCGCGATGCATATTTTCTCTTCATTGACGCGCCGGCGCCAAGAACGGAAAGGGTCTTTTCAAAGTGCAGAGCTACAGGGATTAGACGAAGACCAAGCCGTCGTCCGGAAAAGGAAGCACCACCCGTGGATTGCCAGACTTCAAGAATTAAACCGCGTTCTCGTTGCCAACACCGTGACGTCTCGCTCGCGCTACAGCGCATCGGCCTTCGTGCTTCTCGGGAGAATCTTCCGGCGAGTTATGGCTTGCTAAAGAAAATTGACTTGAATCTACGCCAGGATAATAAAAGCGCATAGAAGCGCGGGCGCGAGAAAAATGAAGAAACAATCCCGACACCGATACTCAACGACGACAGCGCAGGTGGAAGGGGTCGTTTGGGGCACGTAGGACACACAGCCAACGGAAATCCCTCTTGCTACATGGATTATAGATCGCGGCTGTCGGCCCCAATGTTAATAAATATCTATTAGCACGCCTCCCGAAACCTTGTATCGCGATACCGATATTACCGGGGATATTAAACGCGACGCGGATATTGCGTTATTTTGTACCGAACGATTTTGGCCCGTCCTGCACCCCGTGCACCCTGTATATTTACGCTGACGTCTATATCTGTCGCGATCGTCCTTCGAATATTAAACGGAAATGCCGCAAATAAACACGGTTCCTCTAATACGTTGGCCGTTTTAATCCTACAATAATAGGCACTTCGGACACAACGCGTGACTATAGTCACTGCGATATAGAGTGTTTCAAAATATGTGGCGCATATCGAAAGAGATGAATTCTGTGCGGAAAAACAAATCAAAATCACAGAATACATATTCTATAGAATCTCTCCCCTTCTCCACTCTCTCTCTCTCTCTCTCTCTCTCATGGAAAGAAGATCGATTTTGAAAACGGGAACATTAATAATATCCTCGCACTTGGCCAAGCTCGCGCGGATAATCCCCAACGATGATCGGATGATCCTCAGGTCATTAGATTTATCTCGATGCGATTTTACGTTTAAACGGAAAGCGTTAATCGGAGGCGTAATGTTTTTAATAGCACGACGTCTGACAGCACCGACGTCAACACTGCGCTCCTCGATCATTATAGTTGACGCAAGAGCCTGCACCACCTTCGTTTTATAGATTACGTAAATCGACCTTATCAACGCTAATATCGACTAATGTAATAACAAGGCATATTGAAATCACCATCGATGAGACTCGAATGCGTTTCATTGCATTAGAGGAAACTAAGTGGCAGCTTCATAAAATCAAGCGTATTTTGTCCGATTAACGCGGACGTACTTATGTGAAGATAATCGCGTTATACACGATAATCAGCTATTATTCCAGTGCCTATGCAGCTGCGCGCTGTTAGTTAATGACGCTCTGTTGCTAATACGCACATTATATACAATCTAATATAATTAACGAATGCACAAGCGAAATTTACAACGAGACGATGACGTCGCTACGATATTTGCCGCGTTACGATCGCCACTTATAAAACGCATACACACACACACACACACACACACACACACAGCAACGCGACGATACTCCTCGATGGCATTCTGTTTACGTACGTGTCGCGTCGAAGAAGCAATCGAATGGTCTTTTACCTTATTCGGTGTCGTTGCTTGTTGCTGCGGCGAACAGCTGGTGCTGTGTATAGTCGGTTGGTTGGTCGTTGCCGGCACGATGCCCTGATGATTCAAATGGCTCAGCTGATTCAGCTGGGTGAGCTGCTGCGGTTGCTGCACCGGATTCTGGGTGTTGGCCTGCAGCTGTTGATGATGCGACTGATGCGCGGGATGAGTCGTCTGATGATGCGTCGCGGGGAAGGTGGGTACCGTGAACGGGACGAACAGCATCGGGCTGCCGAGGATGTGCGCACCACCTCCACCCAATGCCCCCGTCTCCTCCCTACACCTTTTTCGTGCGTTTTTGGTTTTGGGTAACTCTTTCTACTCCATCAACCGTGTTTTTTTATTGTTTTTACTTTTTTTGGTTTCTTAATTTCGGCGTGCTCTCTACTACGTATATCGTTATACTGTTTTCTGTTTTTGTCTTATTATATTACTTTTTGTCAAGTAACCGCCTCGACGACGACGACGAGCAGAGTAGAAGCGTAGCAGTAGCACTAGTAGTGGTAGTAGTAGTGGTAGTAGTAGTAGAGGTAGTGGTAGTGGTACTAGTAGTGGTAGTAGTAGGGGGTAGTAATATATACGTGTCGAAGTGAAGCTACAATGTATGTTTAATGATTTATCATTACCTGCACTCCTGCCCCAGCCCCTGGTGCTGGGGGTGGGCGTAGGGGGCGGCTCGGACGGAGGTGGTGGACGCCACCCTCGCTACCCTCAGCGATAGACCGCCCCGCTGACTGGTAAGCTGGACCGAAGCTGGCTGGTGATTGCTATGCACGCAGCAACAGGCACGGCAGCCGATCGGCTGTTGCTGATTCGGGATAGCTTGGAGGTGATGAGTTAGGGGGCCCCTGGGCCCCGTGGAGGAGGGAGAACACGGGTACACCCCAACCAGGCAACCCACCACCGCAGCCCCGGGGCCCGGTGCGCTCGGTGCCAAGGCGCCTGTGGACGAGGCCACCCCAAGCTCGCTGGCCCTCCGGCAACCACTGCACCACTGCACCCACCCTCCTTGTTGGGGGGCCTGTTGATACGTCCTGTTGACGCCGATCGTTGAGCCGGGCTGAACGACCTCAACCTGGGCCTCTTTGAGCTCACGATTGCCTGCGGGCGGGATTTTGCTACCTTGCTGTTTACTCGGGGCGATTTACTCCCGACTTGTGCGTGGCTGATGCTGATGATTCTTGATCTGCGCCAAATTTTCCCCGATCGACGATGACGATCGACGGAGAAATCCCGCTTCACTTCGACTTTATCTTTCGGCTATGTGTAGGCGCGTGTATATGTGTGTGTGTGTGTGTGTGTGTATGTGTGTGTGTGTGTGTGTGTGTATATACAGCACGACACTGACGCTCACTGACGCGCGAGGTTGGTGACTTTAATTGAAAGAATCGGCGGAGAATCACAGTCCTTGCTCTGGTGTTTCTGTTGTTTCTGCGAAGAAGGATGTGGCTTGCGGTGGATAAATTCAGCCGTCGACGCGACTCGAGTTCTCGAAATCCGTTTACACTGCGTTCCGTTAACACTGATCACGTTGTTCGTCGCGGAAGGAAAGCCGCGTTTCCCGCTCTCGTCGCGTATTCCTGCGAGATTCTCCCGAGAATGATGCTCAGTCTTATCGAATTCTGTTTCTTATGGAGTGTGTTTACCGCATACTATTCTTGGCGCAGTCGACGCTCACTTCACGGCCACGTGGTCGACTTCCGGGCAGGCTTCTGCGTCAATTGAATGCCGGTGCGAGCTGCAGGTTCCGTCGTTCTTTACATGTGATATACGTGTCCGCAATTAGAAAAGTTCGCGATACCCCTGTTGCCGTCGAAATATCCGGTCCTCTCCTGGTGAAATGAGCTTACTTAAGAACAAATCATCGCACGGGCGGCTACTAAGTGTGTTAAATTAGCGATAACGTGCTTCAGGATTCAACAAATACACGAATGATCGTCAGGTCGTTCGCAGTGCACAACAGTTGAACACGTCTCATCGTATAAATCGGCAAAGTGACGGTATCTTCCTCGCAGTCGGCGTGTCACCTTCACCCTCAGCGATCTGTAACGGATGTCGGGGAGTCCTGTGTCACTCGATTCGACAGTACAAGTCATAAAACGTGTGTTCCCGTTTTACAGTCAGATATACTGCCGCGCGTATGTGCGTATCTCTACCGTATAAATTACAATTGCGCGTTTAATCTATCGGCGTCTTCCAATTGATGAGCAGACCACGGTGAACAACACTTCGCAATCGCAAACGTCGCACAATAAAGGTTTCCGTTTATAACATCGCGTTGGAGGGAGAGACACGAAGTTTCGCGATGCACGCACAACTGGGAGAACGATAATCACTCGATCGTTCAGGCAACACCTTTCCCGTATTATTCTTCGTAAGCTTCGTCCTAGAGGTATCCTGCGGATGATAGATATAGATCGTAGAAATCCGGTCGAACGTTACTGCCGCGCGAACGACATAGAAAATAAAAATTGGCGGTTACTTCCGATCTTTGTACGAGGATTAACACCCTTAATTGCGGCGGCCTTCTCTCTCTCTCTCTCTCTCTATTTCTATCTCTCCTTCCACGGATAAATCAAACAAAGCGGCCGGTCCTCGCGATCGTACAAATGAGGTGAAAGACACGACGGGTGGAAAAAGAGGGAACCTAACCCGTAATGTTGGAAGGTCGCTCGCCGACTGACTAGCACTTCCGCTCAGGCTGTTGTGCGATTCAGAGTGGGGGATGCTTCGTTGGGTTGTTGTGTGTAGGGGTTGGTGGCGGTGGGTCGACTCGTCGGTTGGTTGGTTGGGGTGGTTGTGTGTGCTTCGCTCGTGCTGTGCGCGGGAAACCAGGGGCTTTCAAGCCTCCAGGATCCGTGCGGCCCGGCGAAATAGCGAGCAGTTTCACGTGGCTCGCACCAGCTTGAGTTCAACTACTTTCACCTTGCGTCTCTCTCTCTTTCAACGTTGTCAACGTGTCGCGGCAGCCGAGTTTTCGTGCAACCTCCACGCCGCGAATGTTAAGTAATATCGAGTTGATATTCGTTTGCACGCGTGTGGGAGCGGGCGATAACGAGTTCGTCTGCCCGCGATCGGGTCACTTTTCACTCGTGAAACGGCGCTAACTCGCTGGATGAGCTCGGTCGCGCTGAAAAAATCGAATTCGACAAGACGCACGATGTCGGATAATCAAGATGAGAGGACGGAACGCAATTCGGTGAGTAAATCGATTAAACGGTGAGAAGAAGTCGAGATAGGCACTGCGTGGGGTACCAGGTGCGCGCTTATCCTGTCAATCGAGTTATCCAGGGATTGTCGCAGCTGCTTCAAAACATCCCCTTTTACCTTGATAGACGTGAACCAGATATCAGTCGTAGTCTGTCGTTGAATTTCCGACTGTGCGAGACGTTCGCGATGTATTACGACCCTTCGGCGGCGAGGAGGCTCAATTTCGCAATTTATTTCCACCGGACGGTTTTCTATCGCAATAATTAACGCGCGCGTTAATCATTCGTACAACATTAGTCAATCGGTGGCAGCGGCAATCGGCGTATCACTGGAAACCTCACAAATCCTCGCTAGGCCATAAGAGACGGTCGAGCGACGGGCGCGAGCACTACTCAGCGCGAGCTGCTTTCAACTGGATGACGCGTGTTCCAGAAACGATTTCACGTCGCACCAATCGCGATCACTTGAGCATAACGCACTCGCAGCACCTGTCACAATTTTGTCGAACTCGCCGTCGTTGCACTGCCGACGAACCTCACTTTCGCGAACACCCGCTTCGAAACGGGATCTCTCGCCGCCGGAGAACGGAAAGGGGTACGTGTGAGGCTGCTTGTTTGTACGCGTGCGTCCCGCCTCGTGTTTATGCGATCGTGTAGGTGTGCCGGTGAGGGGAAAAACTGTCTCGGCGCGAGTTACAACAGACGGATAAAAAATGATAATGGCGGATGGACAGGCGGATATATACGGGGGGGGACTGGTGTGACGCGGTGTCTGGTTGCCTAGTGTGTAATGGGCTATGGATTTGGTGGAGCGCTGGTCCTGCACGTAGGTAGGCAGCGTGGAGACAAGAACCCTGTATCGCAATGTATCGCGGCGGCGGTGGCGACGACGGCGGCGGCAGCGGCGGCAGCGGTAACTGGAGGGGTGGTTCGTCAGGCTGGAGGGGCGAGAGTGGGTGGCGGAGGGTGGGAGTCTGGCTCGTTCCTTCGTTCGTTTCGAGGTGGTGGAAGAGAGGGTAGGTCAGACGATCCCGAGACTGAGGGCGCGCACAGCGCCGCTCTCTCTCTCCTCGAGAGGCGTGCGGGAACAGTTACCGTTGCTCCCGCCGTTGCTCGTACGTCGTATAAATCCGCTGTTTTTTCCCAAGGTTTCTCTTTATATGGTACAGATCCTCCCCCCCCCCCCCCCCNCGAATTGTCCCTCGTTGTATGTTGAATTCGAAGAACAAATCATTATTATCATTATTTTTATCATTATTATTACCATATCGTATCATTATTATTGCGCGATTCTTCGTGTCCCGGCGTTCCGATTCAGCGAGGACTTTTGTCATCGAACTGACGGATCATTTCGCGCAACCTATGTGCGACCGTTACCGCGCGGAAGATATTTTACGTGCGCTTCTCTTTCTTTCATATACCGAAACGAACGACATACAGTAGAGCAAAAGCCGCCGCACAGTTCGTTGCGCCCTTCTTATTTACGCTTTAGCGTTACGTCGGTAATGAGGGGTTTCCCGCCGCGAGAAACGGTTTTTAAGAATGTCAAGATTATGAGCAAAGTTCGTCAACCTTTTACGAAAGTCTCGGAAGGTGTCTGAATATTTTTCCCCCCTGTGAATATTTTCCGCTCCTATGTTAGTTAACTAAGAGAAGGGTGTAACCAAAGGCATGCGGTTAGCGCGCCGATGAATCGATCAGCACTGGTCATTTGGCTCCCTTTGTCGCGCGTGTTAATTAAAAATTGCTGGCGGTTATCGTCGTGGAAGGAATCACGCACGGGTCTGTAATTAATTCGTCGATAAATTCCCATCAGCCGGCCGGCGATCTCTCGCGGCGTTTACCTGCGCCGTGCTTTCGGAAATTTCGTCGCGCTCCGATACTAATGATCGCTGATCGAGTTAAAACCTTTTGTCTCCCGTTCTGCTTGTCTTTTTACGCGCCAAACGTCTGTAAGTCATTCGCATTCACGGTCGAGATAGCCGTTCCGGCTAACTACCGTGACACAAAAACGATCGAGTTCTCCGTCCGGCGCGAGAAAGAAAGGCAAGCCGGCGAAGGGCGGGCCAATGGCGAAGTTGATAATAGTAAGGACTTTAAATGCGATTTGTGACTCATCTATAATTCACGGCGCCCGCAGTCGACGGTTTTCCATCGGGTCGCCATCAACGAGCAGGCTCGCCCAGGACAGATACGGTGTACACATTGCGCCCGGGAAATTTCGTATTTTCGCGGCTAATGACTGAGGAACGAGACGGTAATGTATTCTATGCGGAACATCTACTATGCGCTCCCCATTAGCATTTGTAATGCGCATCTACCCCTAACTTGGGGCGCAAGCGTTGACGCTCGGCGCAAACCCATCAACGTACCATTTATAGCGCCGTTTCGTGCCCGCGTACGCGGAGAAAAGAGTTTACTACTCGTTGCTGGTGAATATGTTAATAGGATGCACCCGCGCTGCTCGTGCG